CCTCCCTCCCTCCCTCCCTCCCTCCCATTCCTTCCTTCCCTCCATCCCTCCCCTCCTTTCCTCCCTCTGTCCCTCTCCTCCCTTCCCCCTTTCTTCCTTCCAAATTTATATGCTGCATGACTCCCAGGGACTCTAAATCTAGACAGTTATTATTGGTGCAAAGAAAGATTGATATTTATTGTGTTATTACACTGCCCTGACTTCTGCATTATTGCTTTTATATACCACTCAGTGTCTCTTTAGAATGGGGCAGCCCCTACATTTTATAAATAAAGAGATGAAATAACAATGACACTCATCTCCCATGACTGCGTTCTCAGTGTATTTTCGTCATCCAATGTGCGTTTTTTTTAAAAAAAAAAGCTGATCAAGAGGTGAAGATGTGTGTACGCAGTTGAACTGTCAAACTATTAAAACAAGAAACTAGCCCAGTAAAAGCATGAAGGTGGGGAACCAAGATGGATCTAGCATTCCAGCTGGAGAGAAAGTTGTTTATAAATGTGTCCAGTGGAGTTGGGGAATTTCCTGAGCTGGAAATTCTAGGAAGATTGAATTCTGGTAAAGAGTAAGGTTATCACCACGTTCAATCAAAGGCACTTAGAATTCCCCTGAAGATTTTGTGCTTTACAGGCAATCCTCCCTTTTTACAGTAGTTCATTTAGTGACCGTTCAAAGTCACCACGGCCCTGAAAAAAGTGACATGACCATTTTTCACACTGACGACCGTTGAAGCCTCCCCCGTGGTCACGTGACCCAAATTCAGACATTTGGCAACTGACTCGTACTTATGACAGTTGCAATGTCCTGAGGTCGTGCCATCCCTTTTTGCAACCTTCTTATAAACAAGGTCAATGGGGGAAGGCAGACTCGCTTAACGACCGTATGACTAATGGAACAACCACAGCGATTCCCTTAACAACTGTGGGAAGAAAGGTCCGAAATGGTCTAGGTCAGGGGTAGGCAACCTTGGCTCTCTTATGACTCGTGGACTTCAACTCCCAGAATTCCTGAGCCAGCCACACTGAGGGGAAATGGAGAGGTTTCCAAGCTGAGCCATGCTGGCTCAGGAATTCTGGGTGTTGAAGTCCACGAGTCACAAAAGAGCCCAGGTTGCCTACACCTGGCCTAGGGCCTAGGCCACTATTTCTCAATCTTGGCAGCTTGAAGATGTGTGGACTTCAACTCCCAGAATTCCTGAGCCAGCCATGCTGAGGGGAAGGGAGAGATTTCCAAACTGAGCCATGCTGGCTCAGGAATTCTGGGAGTTGAAGTCCACGAGTCACAAAAGAGCCAAGGTTGCCTACCCCTGGTATAGGGTTTCCTGCCTGAGCAGGGGGTTGGACTAGGCGACCTCCAAGGTCCCTTCCAACTTTATTATTATTATTATTATTATTATTATTATTATTATTATTATTATTATTATTATTATTATTATTATTATTATTATTATTATTATTATTATTATTATGGCAAAATTCACTTAACAACCATCTCACTTACAACAGAAATCATGGTTTCCATTGTGGCGCTAGGATCCCTGTCCTAGGTCAAGGACTACCTATATATGGGAAGGTCTTTGCAGGTGCGCATCTCATTTCTGTTTTCTAAAATATGGAAAACTGCTTTTGCACAGCTATCTAGATAGGAAAGCACTACTTTCACCCACTGCGACTTTCAAAAACAAACCTGGGGTCTCAGCCAATAAATTTCTCCTTTGAACTGAGCCAACGGAGTAGAACAGTTGAAAAACAGAGAATCGTCACTAGCCGGAAATGCCAGGTCCTTGTACAGGTCTCCTTTCCGATCTGCCGAGACCCCGACTCCCAGCATCTTTTACAAATCTGCAAGGACCTGCAGCCCCTTCAGAGGCAATGGGGATCTGATTTAAATCTGCAAAACAGGTTAGGAGGCCAGGAGAACCTACAGTTATATTTCGTTTTTCTTCTTCTCTACATATTTAAAATGTGCTTTTTTTTTAACCGAACAAAGCATAGGATAAAATTATAAAGGACAGAGAAAAAAAGGAGCATGCAATTTCAAAGAGAAGGCCAACCTTGAAATATCCATACTTAGTACCGGTGATATTTAAGGAAAAATATCATTCAAAAGAATTAAGCTGCACAATTCCACACCAGAAGACAAGAGATGTTTCAGAAATGAGGCCTATCGGTGGTGGTGGGCCTTGCCTCAAAATCAACGTTTCTCAAACTAAGCATTGTCAACCAACAATGGGGGCTTCTGGGAATTAAAGTCCTCCCATCTTAAAATGGCCATGTTTAAGAAGCATTGCACTAAACCAGGGGTCTTCAAACTTGGTCCTTTTATGACTTGTGGACTTCAACTCCCAGAATTCCTCAGCCAGGCACATGTGCCTGGCTGAGGAATTCTGGGAGTTGAAGTCCACAAGTCATAAAAGGGCCAAGTTTGAAGACCCCTGGCTTAAATCTAACAAACAAAATGGAGGCTGGCTGAGGAATTCTTGGAGTTGAAGTCCACAAGTCATAAAAGGGCCAGGTTTAAAGATCCCTGCACCTACTTCCCACCTAAAGTAGAAACAAACTCCATGTGAACTTATTTATTAAATTTATTTGCGGCCCATCTCATTTCAAAGTGACGTCACAAATATGGCTGGTTGGTTTGTTAAAAATAGAAATCTGGTCCGCTCTAACAAAAGCCTTGTAGCAAACAGGTAATTCTTAACTTGCAACAGTCCGTTTCATGACCAAACTTAACAATGGCGCTGAAAAAAGTAATTTCTAACCTTTTTTCACATTTACAGCCATTGCAGCATCTCCGTGGTCACATGATCAAAATTCAGCTGCTTGGCAACTGGCTCATACTTATGACGGTCGCAGTGTCCCGGGGTCACGTGATCCCCTTTTGCGACCTTCGGACAAGGAAAGTCAATGGGGAAGCCAGATTCACTTAACCACCATGTGACTAACTTAACAACTGTAGTGATTCCCTTAACAACTGTGGCAAGAAAAATCGTAACATGTGGCAAAACTCGCTTCACAACTGTCTCACTTAGCAGCAGAAATTTTGGGCTCAGTTGTGGTTATAAATCGAGAACTACTTGTATTTAAAAGGGGTGGTAAACCATGATCTTGACATTCCCTTTAAAACTGCAGATTTATTTTAGGTTTTAATCCAGGGTGGATCATGTGCTTTTTCACTTCTGCATTAAAGATTACACTGGTTTAATTGCACCCGCTAATACATACAGGTCAGCTAATTTGCTTACCATGTCGGTCCTCTCTTTTCGTCAGCTGTAGTTGCTAAACTCTCCAGACGCCCCAGCTACATCCTAATTAATCGACAAATAGAGCAGATAGAAAAGGTGGCAGATAAAACACAATTCATAACCAATCAAAGTCTGGTTGTGGAGAGGAATAGCTGGAGTTGTGATCATCATCAAACTGTGCATGTTCTGCCAATGTGGCTCCTAGATCTTTAAGCGACCTAGCTAAACCCATGATGGTGGGAATGCAGCCACAGCCACAGCCAGT